TCAGCGTGCCCTCAGCAGGGCCAGCATGGCATGTGGGACCAAGAATCAAACCCTAGGCCCTGCGCTTGCCCAAACAGGTGCTTAGTCCACTGAGCTATCTTGCTGGCCCATTTTCCCTCACTTCAAAAAAATATTTATTTATTTGTTACAGGATCTCATTATACAGTTCAGACTCCTCCTGTCTCAGACTCCCAGCCCTGGGATAACAGGCGTGTACCAACACACTCAGCAGGGTATGCAGTACCAGGGATTTAACCCAGGTCCTTGTGCTAGCCAGACAGGTGTTTAGACTGCTGAGACCTGAGGTTGAGGTTTCCAAGACAACCTTATCCAAAGCTTCTACCACCATTACTGAGTCTGGGGCTTCCCTTACTTGCCCTTCTGGTCCTGAGTATGGTGCTTCTAGGCTGGCCATAATCAAAGCCTTCATGAAGCTGTAGCCATCCTTGGCTGATTTTGTTCGGTCTCCTCAAGAACAATATCCTTTACAGGAAGTAAGCGGGGAATTTAACTATCTATGTTCATGTGCCCCTTTTCTCTCAGTGACCAAAATCAGCTCAGGAAAGTTCTAGAAAAGCTTTCAGGTGATCCTATAAGTACATTGAGGTCTCCAGGAGACCTACTCAGACCTATCAACTAGGTTAGGTTAGAGAGATGTAATGCCATTTTTAAACACTGACTTCTATTGAGAAGTTTGTACTATGGGTACAACTTTAATCTTTGAGGTTCTTAGATGTAGTACAGATACCCAGGGGGACATATTTTCAGAGTGAGCTTATGTAGAACCTAGTAAGCCCTGCCACAGAGGGAAGTTTCCTACATGATCAGACAGAAAATCCAAGATGTCTCAAAGACCTCTTTGTCCTAGGGCCAAGATTTCTTCTGAACTATTACCTGTCTAAGTGACAGATCTCTGGCAGGTTGAGACTACGGGTTTGTTTTTTTTTTTTAGAACTTTTGCTGTAGTTTATCAGAAAGTAAGCCCTAAACAATGTAGCTAGAATGTCTTCATGTTTTATCCCACTGTCTTTTGAAAGGTTACAAAGCACCCACTCAGGTTCATTCATTAGTTCAATTTTCTGTTTGGCAGTGCAGCTGGAGTCAGCCGTGGCTTTTGTTTCTGATGGTGTATTTTTCTGAGGATTAGAAATCCATCCTAGAAAAGCTTCTGACCTTAATTGTCTTTCTGCAACTGAGAGGATTAGGATTTATTTCTTGTGTCGTGCTTGGAGGCACGCTTCTGTCTGTCCTCCACTGCACTGTCCCTGAGAAATAATGCAGTTACCATAGTTTTTAATCCAAGACAATTCTCTCCTCTATGACTGCTAAATTTCAAGACAAAGTCTCTAGAATAGTGAGTTTCTCCTCTCTGGGATCTTTCCAGTGTGAAACTGACCTTCACTTATCTCCAGGTTACATTTTTTAAAAATGGTCTAGGTTTAATTCTGAAACTGTCAAAGAATAACTGTAGAAGTTTTAGTCCAAATTTTTCTGCCTTTTCTAATCAGGTAAGCCAACAGCCTAGGGTCCATCTTATAAAAGTGCCTTTGCTTTCCCAGGTGTAAAACTTTTTTTTTCAAAGTTTTATTGATAAACAGCAATGAGACAGTTTCAAATCAAATCGGAAGTGCAGTTTCAACAAATAATACACTGCATATATTCTTCTTAGTGGTTAATTGCTGTACAAGATGCAGACTTGTGATCCTATTTACAAACACCATTAGAACAAATCATTCTATTCATTAAGAGAATGCAACTATATATCTATCCCAACCACTTTGAATACACAGAGACAAAATGGACATTCATAGGTATACCCCATTTTTTCTAAGTTCCGTTATTGAATATTATAGGTGTGTAAACTCAGCAAAATATTCTAAAAGAGTCCAGTAGCCCATAATAGCATTGGGTCTTCTGTTTAACTGGCAATGTCAGAAAGTATTGACCTGAGTCCCCCACAGCTCAACTTAACAACATGGCTTTATTTCCTATATTTCGTCTTCATACTTTTCTACTGGATGGTTAAGACCAAGGTAAAGCAGGACCTATGCAACAAGAGTTGTAGCTTTTTGGTCTGAGAAGGTCAGTGAAATGCCCTCAGGATTTATCCTGAGATCCTGTACCTCAGATTGTAGAACCTTTGTCAGTGCAGCCATGTGGATGAGTCATGGCCATTGCTTGGCCAATGTGCTCTCTGTGAAAGCCTGAGAGAGTGTCTTCTCCTGGTGTAAAACATTTTTATTCCCTCTGAGTCTTATTATAAGAGATCTCTGTTATTTGACCTACAAAATTTTCTGGTGAGTCTGTTTATAGTGACAAACTTAAAAACTGTAAATAAGATTACCATAATTCAAATTGGCCAAATGTATCTACATGTACTCTGGTCTATGCCTGTCTGTCTGTCTGTCTGTCTGTCTGTCTGCCTGTTTGTTTAGTGTGTCACTGGTTGCAATACTTACAGTGGTTTGTGTTTGAGCTCAACAATTTTTTTCTTCTTTTTGTCTCTTTAGATTTTTAAAATATTTGTGTATAACTTAAGTTGGCTATTAAGGACGTGCTTCCACCCCAGTGGTCCGCAAGTCAGCATGACGTCAATCAAGACTGGATTTACAGATGCAATACATGTTGTTGTCTATGTAAAATAACTCAGATCTTTCATTGGTCATAATGATGTGTTATTGTTATGATCTGTTTCTGATAGGTCATCAAAAATGCATTCTGATAATTTAATGGGGACTCTAGGGCTTAGGGAAGCTGCTGCAGAGGATTCACCTTGGCCTAAAAGAAGCAGCTTGTGGAAATATTTTCTTCCATTGTTTTTCACTAACGGGACCCCAATAATTTCTATAGCTTTATGGGAGGCACATCCACTATGTGCTGCTAAGCATGTTATTGTAATGTGTTTACTATGTTGTTATCAAAAGGTTAAGTTTTCTCAGTTTTTCAGTAACCCTTTCATTTTTACTTTTTAAAGAGAATAAAAAATAGTAAAAAAAAAAAACAAAAAAAGTGTTAGAAATGATACAGAATTTCACTAAACAAAATATTAGGAATTCAACAACGGTTGTTATAGTGCATATTGTTGTCTTTAAATTAGTTGTTCAGATGACCAGACATGAGCATGCAAGATTGGAACCCTAAAAATAATGAAAAAATTATAGCATAGTAAACAAACCAGTAACATAGTAATTTATCAAGTACTATACATTGTACATAGTTGTACTGTTTACTTTTGCATCGCTGTCAGCCCGGCTTGCTTGTTCACACCAGCCCCACCGCAGACAAGTAAAGAGTGTGTTCTGCCACAGTGTTATGCTATAGCTAGCTGACAGGAATTTTTTTATCTGTCACAATCAGATTGGACCACCATCATACAGATACACGGTCTGTTGTACACAAAAATATTATTATGTGGCACATGACTGATGACTGAACATCCTATCACTTCCTCTAGCGGGCTGTTCAAGTTTCAGACATTCTTCCACCCTTCCAAGACATGAAAAGGGGCTTCTGACTCCTCTCAGGTTTTTTAAAAACACCTTTCCTTTCTTTTATTTTATTTTCTTTTCTTTTCTTTTCTTTTTTTTTTTTTTTTAAGGACAGGGTCCTCAGGGTTTCAATGCATAGATGAGACTGGTAGTGATTCACCTGTTTACAACCTCCCAAGAGCTGGAATTACAGGCGCGCACCACCACGCCCAGTCTCAATCGCTGTCTCAGCTCGCCCTGGGGGTGGGGCCGCCACAGCAAGCCCGGGATCGAACTCCCAGTCCCTGCCTCTGCCTAAGCAAAGGCTCTAATCCCCTGAGCTATTTGGCCAGCCCTTTATTATATTTTTTTAATAATTTTGTTGAGAAACAAATAGCAATGAGACAGTTTCAAAACCGATTAGTAGGACTGCTTCGACAATTAATACATTGCATATTGTTGTCTTAGTGGTTATTCGTTGTACAAGATGGAGACATGATATCCGAAATCTTATCCACAAACACCCGGAGGGGTGAAGGTAGCCGGTCCTTTAAAGCACCTATTCATGTTGGTGATTTTTCTGAGTTCCAGGTTCCCTCTGCAGATCCACAAAGGGAGGAGGAGGCACACGCTAATCCAACACCTTGTCAGGGAGCAGAGGCGAAGTCCACAATCGCCTTCTTGCGTGCTTTATTTATGTATTTCTGGAGGCAAAACTGTTTCCTTAAAAGAAATACCAGACTAAGAACACACTTCACTGCTTCAGATAAAGAACCCCAAGTCAGATAAAAAGGCCAATATTAAAAGCAGCATTCTGGGCGGAGGGACCTCTCCGTGGCACTGGCGGCAGCGGAGGCCCCGGGGCGGGAGCAGTGCGTGGCCAGGCTGGAGGAGTTCGGTGGGCGCTGGCAGGAGGAGGCGGGCGCAGCGGGAGGCCGAGGTGGCAGGCGGCGCGGCGAGCAGGCCTCCGGGCACCTGGCGCTGGCCCAGGGCCTCGCGGGCGAGCTGCGAGCCGCTCCGCTCCCCTCCGGTCCGGGAAGGCTCAAGGGGCGGGGAGCAGCTGGTGGACCAGCTCGGATGTCCAGCTGCCCAGTTCATAGTGTGTTTCAGTGTCCGGACAGGAAAGACCTAGGAAGGTGTGCTCAGGTGAGCCAGACGTGGAAGGTGACTGCCCGAAGACGAGGGGCTGGGGTACAGGCTGTGCCAGCAGGAAGGACACCTTCCGGAGAGCAGCATCTCGGATTACCCCTGCTGGAAGCTCTTCTTCCAAAAACACCGAGCCAAGGAGCACATGTTAAGAACCAAGTGGAAGGGGCTGGTGAGATGGCTCAGTGGTCTGAGGCACCTACTTAGAACAAGCTAAGCCAAGCAAAAGCACAGGGACCGCGGTTCGATCCTCCGGCACCACATGCCAGCCAGCCCCGCCCCCTGGTGGGCTGAGCTGGCCACACACACACACACACACACACACACACACACACACACACACAAAATAAATAAATAAAAATTAAAAAAAAAGAACCAAGTGGAAGAATGGCAGAGGTGTCGCGAGTGAGCTGGAGCGCATTCCTGAGGCAGTTTTGGCCAGGCGCATTCTCACAAGGGCATTGTTGTTGCTGGATATACATTAAGGCACGTGCGGGTGTGGGGCTCCCGCACCTGGGACCGTGTGGCATGTGGCATGAGTTCAATCCCCGGTTGGCAAAAACAAAAACAAAACAAAACAAAAAATCCCCCCCAAAACAAAACAAAGCAAAAACTGGCTGAGGGCCGGCCAAATAGTTTAGCGGATTAAAGCACCTGCAAGCAGGCGCAGGAGCCAGGGATTCCTTCCCGGGCCTGCAGTGCCGGCCCTGCCACATCACAGGCAACGTGCCCTGTGAGGAGGTGGTGCACAGCAGCGACCTGGCCAGCTTCCCGACCCACCGGAGACACTGGGGGCTGATCCATGCCTATGAGTTTGTGGCAGACCAGCTGGCCTTCCAAAGCCCTCTGCCCGTCTGCTGTTCCTCCTATGACGCCACCACCAATTCCAACTATGACCTTGCGCTAGTCATGATAGTACCTAAGTATCGCCTCATTTGGGAGAAAATTGAGCCAGACCAATTTTATAAATTTTAAAACCACACCAGAGCTGACAGTGGGTAGCCAACATGGGGGCTGGGGGAGCAGTGGGATGGCAGTGCCCAGTCTGTCCACTCAGCCTACTCCTTCGCTGGCCTCTTTTGCCCTCCTCTGTCACTCACTGCTCTGTGCCACCCGTAAAGACCTGGAGTTCATTGCCCCTCATTTCCTGTCTCTCTGTCCTCTCCCCAGGCACCTTTGTCTCCTGTGGCTTTGAGTGTCATGACTCCGCCTCCATCCCCTGGCACCTCCTCAGCTCATCCTCTCTCAAGAATGACACTGCTGCCCCTGCCCAGAGCTCTGCCGCAGCCTTCATGCAGCCCCTGGGACTCTGCTGGGCCTGCTCCCTGCTGCCATCCTGCAGGCCATGTTCCCATCTCCTTTGGATTGCAACTCAGAAGTGATCTTTGTGTGTGTGTGTGTGTGGTCCTTAGGATGAAACGCAGGGCCACATGCATACTGAGCAGGCCATCTGCCAAAGAGCTGCATCCTGAGGTAGTAGGTCTTAGATCTGAAACTGTCACCACCCAGGGTAAACCTGGGAGAGCAGGGCTTTTTCTTCAATGGTAGACCATGGTAAGTGCTGTATTTATATTACTATGTCCATAATATGGGAAGCAAAGTAAATATTTTCTAAATAAAAAAGCAGCAGTCTGCTTACATTCTTAAAGACACATAAAAAGAATCAAATACAACAGTATAGAAAGTTTCCTCCTTTTCAGAATCATGACTTTCAAATAAAGAATGTGACCCACCTGCCATAGCACAACAATATTTATTTTAAGATAAGCCATGTCAAAAAAATAAAAAAGTCATTGGGACTATAGCTCAGCGGCACAGTGCCTGCCTGGCAAGCATGAAGTCATGAGTTTGATTCCCAGTACCAAAAACAAAACAAAAACAAAAACAAAAAACCAACCAAACAAAACAAAAAGTCAATCCTTGCTTTTAACAACAATTTATATTACCAAAACACTTTACAGCTCCATCCCATCTTTGAGCAGAAGTTACAGGCATGTGGGATAGTGATTGCCTGAAAGTGTTTCTCTCTTCAGATTCATAATCCAAGTGCTCTCTGAATATGACAAGGTGACTGTCTCAGTTACTTTTCTCTGGTTTCTGGGACAAAATACTTAGTACCCAAAATTAAGGAAGGAAAGGTTTATTCTTTTTTTCTTTTTTTTTTTTCCTTTTTTTTTTTTTGGCAGAACTGGGGATTGAACTCAGGCCCTTGTGCTTGCCAGGGAAGCACTTATTCCACTGAGCCATCTCCCCAGCCCCAGGAAAGGTTTATTTAGCTCACAGTTAGTGGAGGTTTCAGTCCGTACTTGGCTGGCTCCAAGGCACAGTGGAACATGGCAGAAGGGAGCAGTTCATGGAGAAGGAAAAAACAGCAAGAGCAAAAGGGAAAGCACTGGCTGTGGCAGCTAGAAAGCCTCTCCTCGTTCCTTATACTGTACTCAGGCTCTCCGCCCCAGAGCGGGTGTGGCACTCACACTCACAGTCCCAGCATTGGATCATGAATTAATCACAAACTCTAGAAGCCACCCCAAAGACTGCATGAGGCTTTGGGAGGACAACTAGACACAAACCATGACAGTGACAATAGTGGGAAGTAGAAGAGGAAGAAGAGAGAGGAGTGAGGTTTTTCCCGATTACAGTTTCTGCGGCAGTGAGGACATGAAGTATGTAGTCATTTCTGTTGTCTTTTCACCTTTATACTGTGTTAAGTAATGCTTACAACATAAACTCAGCAGGCTTTTCCTGCCCTGTAACACTGAAATTTTCTCCCTGCAAACAATGTACTTACAAATCTGTTTCTTAACTTATACCCAATCTCACAATAACCAGTAAGGATTAAAGGAGTGCAATACTAGTATATTTGTTTGCAGTATTAAGGGTAATATATATTGTCATGGTGATGACAGAGGCAACAAAACTTCTAAAATGAGTTTAAAAATGGCAAAGAAATAAATATCACCAAAAAAGATTCATTGTAGCTTAAATATAAAACTAAATCACTAGTTAATTTACCAAACAACACATATCTAATAAAAAGCAAAAACTACCTAAAAGACCCAATATTTTATTTTTTGAAGATAAATTGTCACCTTTAATATAATTATCTCCATTTTACAGCTGAGGAAACTGAGGCAGCTCAGGGAACCTGGTAGCTACCAAGGACACAGAGCTGTCCCTTCTTCTCTTACCTCTGTCCATTTATTTCTGTTTTCTTTTTTTTTCATAATTTTATTGATAAACAGATAGCAATGAGACAGTTTCAAATCGAATCGGAAGTACAGTTTCAACAAATAACACACTGCATATATTCTTCTTAGTGGTTAATTGCTGTACAAGATGCGGACTTGTGATCCTATTTACAAACACCATTAGAACAAATCATTATAGAATGCAACTATATATCTATCCTAACCACTTTGAATACACAGATACAAAATGGACATTCATCTGTATACCTTTTTTTTTTTTTTGCTAAGTTCTGTTATTTGAATATTATAGGTGTGTAAACTCAGCGAAATATTCTAAAAGAGTCCAGTAGCCCATAATAGCATTGGGTCTTCTGTTTAACTGGCAATGCCAGAAATTATTGACCTGAGTCCCCCAAGACCCAATATTTTAAAAATGCCTTTTAAAAGGCAAAAATCTGCATAATATTGTCTTATGTTTCCATTCTCTTCTTCCTCAAGTTTACCTTTTTTTTCTATTTATGTATTTGGTACAGGGTCTCATTACACAGCTCAGACTTCTAGTGATCTTCCTGTTTTCAGCCATCCCAGCGCTGGGATTACAGGCATGTGCCAACAACCCACGACTCAGTCACTGGCTCAGCCCATCCCTGGGGTAGAGCTGGCACCAGGGATTGAATCTTTGTCCCTATGCTTAGTCTGCTGAGCTATCTAGCCTTCCCTAAGTTTGCCTTTTCTGATCTCCCTCTGTAGTAATGGAAAATTTTTAGAGCTTTCAATGATACAAACAGCCCACTATGGAATGTGTATCATAGACTAACCACAACTATTCTAGGGGCTTACAAGTAAATTATTTCCAAAAACAAACAAACAAAAAAATCGAATCATTTCCACCTTCAATTTGACCTCAAATGTCCCAGAGCACCAAATCTGCTGTTTTTCAAGAGTTCTTTGTTGGTAAGCTTTAGATAGCATTGTTTTTTAAAAAAAAAAAAAAAAAAACTATAATAGTTTTGATCACGGTGCTAAATTTCAATTCTTCCTCTGGTTCTTCTTAAAGAATGCTTGACTTCTACCATGCGTTCCTTGCATAGCGTTTTAAAAAAGCAAAATAAATAAATAAATAAATAAATAAATAAATAAATAAACAAAACCCATTACTTATGATTTAAAAAAAAAAACAAGCAGAATAACTGTCTGCACTGTCTTAAAATCTTAGGAGAAGTAGTTCATTATAACTTTATGATTTTACCATGAAGAATTAACTGGTTACTTTTTTCTCCTGGGGTCTGATGAGGCACATGTGAAAGGGCCATTTGTTTTGGCCAGAAATATAATTTATATTCTACTGGCTCAGTCCGTGTGTTGTTCATTAGGGTTCCTTTTGAAGGTGCAACCGAATTCTTTCTCACTCAAGCACTGCCCACTATGATAGATAAGTTTTGGCTCAGGAGGTCTAAAGGATTTATATCTAAGTGCTCAAAAATGATTTGGGGCATCTTGGCCTATTGCTACAGCCAGTGGTGTATGTAAAGCTGAAGGGTAATTCCAATGGGTTTAGTCAGACTGCTGTTGACCCTCTTGTTTGTGGCAGGCTAGGAATAAGAAATGAGGCTAAAGGAGAAGTGAAAAAAAGCTGTAAAAGATCAGATAGGCAAATCCTGTGAACAGACCCCTCCCTAGCCAAGCCACACTCGCTGCTGATATTTCCATCCTTTCAGAAGGGTCGGGGAGCAGCCTGGTGGGTCAGTAGTTAGGACTGGAGTGTTATATTGACAATTATCAGGTGAAAAACATGAGGCATGGAAGTCTACCGGCCTTAAAAACAAATTTAAAAACACAAGCTTAAAGAGAAAAATAGGTTTAAGGGAAGAGAAAAAGGACAAAATTATATTGAATTAAAAATGGGACAAATTGTTTCAAGAACCACAGATGTTTATAGGTGTACATAGATATATGTAAAAATGTTTGTTGTTTTCTTGCTTCCTGTATGCATATTACTAGCAAAGACCACCACAAAAGTTTTAGCATGGAGGGAGTACTGGTTTTTTATTTTTTATTATTTTATTTTATTTTTTACTTTTTGGCAGAACCAGGGATTGAACTCAGGCCCTTGCACTTGCCAGGGAAATGCTTATTCCACCGAGCCATCTCCCAGGCCCCTGGAGTACTATTTTAAATGTAAGTCCCAAATGGGACAAGGAGGATGGAGCAAAGGCACAGTGGATAGAGTTTAAACATTCTAGCTTTGCTCATTTACATGAAAAAAGAAAACAGTTCTTTTAAATTGTGAGCAGTTGGTTCCAAGTGGTGCAATTCTACTGGGGGAGACTGGCACAAACTGGGTTCAGGGAGAGCCCCGAGCTCCAGTCCTAGGCAGGCCCAGAGGGGATTTCCCAGCTGCTCAGGTGACCACCTGTCCAGTCCAACCACAAAAGTTAGTGCACCACCACCTACATTCCTGTGCACCTGGTGCTAAGTACGAGGGTCATGACTGTGGCATGCTGAGGCCTTGGTGTTGGCTATGTGCATTGCTGGCATCCAAAATCTGTTAGGTTCAAGGCAGTGCTAGCCTGGGGAAAACCAAAACATACAGCTGTCAGAGCCAGAGCAACAGCTGGTGCACAGCAGACACGGCCGCACAGCCTGAACACCTGTGAAGCGCAGGGAGGGGAAGGTCAGCGCAGGGAGGGGAAGGTCGGCGCAGGCGCCTGTTCCCCACACTAACAC